TTCCATGTCAGCAAGATGCATTGTATTTAACAGTAGAAAGCAAGTCTAGTCTGCTGCCTGTCGGAATTAGCCTCCTGGAAGCTCCGTTTCCTTGAACTTATACACATAAACACAGGGTGCTCTGAAAGCACAATGGAGGAGTGTCTAACCTGAGTGAAACAGAACAGAAATAATCAGGCATGGCTTTATGGAGGATGTGATGTACTTCTTGAAGGTTATTTGCCTCATCTTACTCCATATCTAATTCGTTAGTTTTCCCCTCTAAGGCAGAATAATAATAACTGAAGACTTTTAAACTGGACTACAAATATCATTTGCATCTCTAAAATATAAGGACATTCTCCTGAATTAGTATAATAGTGCTTTCACACATAAAAAAGCAAAAACAAAAACAAAAAACCTCAACTCTTATGTGAAACCTTGGCCGTGTACAAATTTCTCATTGTTCCCCAAAGTGTCTTTTATCACTGGTTTTTACATGTCAGGATCCAGTTGAGAATCATATGTTGCACTGATTATATCTCTTAAGTTTGTTTTTCTCCCCTCTTAAATAGACTTTATCTTTTAGTCCTAAGTCTTTTTTATGCTAAAATTTAGCCCACTGCCCTTATTTATTTAGCCATCACATTGACTTGTTAAAGAAACTTGACACATAGAATGATCTGCCTTCTAGTTTTTGTCTGATTGTTTCCTCGTGGTATTAACTTGATACATTGTCCTCTGTATTTCCTGTAAAACCGTAAAGAAGTTTGATGCAAAGGTTTGATTCAATTCAAGTTAAATATCTTTGACACAGATACTTAGGTGATAAAATGTTGCCTTTCTTTAATCTTCTTTTTAAATCTTTAATACCAACTGTAGGTAATGGTAGAATTCTTGATTCAACCCATCAATCACCAGTCTTGGACTTGGACATTCACAGCACTTTAGTATCTGCTATTCTTGTCCCTTTTCTTTTGGGGATTTCTAGCTAGCCCTTTTTTGCCTTGTCCCTGATACATTCGTGCCTTCACTTCTGCCCTGACTTCTATCTTAGATATAAATAGTACCTGTTCCAAGTGTTCGTATTCTCTTATTTGACATTGCTGCTGTATTTTGTGACTTTATTCTGAACTCTCTTTAATTGCTTAGTCATTACTTCTGGTCCCATGAAGAATGACTAGAGATAAGAGAGACATGCCTAGATTGGTTTTATCATCCTTGGGTCATTCTGGAAATACTGGCTAGATGGAGCACCCGAAAGTGGGAGTGGGTTAGAGGAAAGATTAAGTGCAACATAATTTTCATTCAGGATGTGGGTCCTTTGCTGTTTTTTTTCAACATCCTATGGTGAAGGGTGTGAGTGAATGCTTTCTTTTGTGAAAACTCTAATGTGTATTAATATAGTGAGGGAGCATGTGGACATGAAGAGAGTTCATAAAGAGGTAAATGTTAACTAATCCAAAGGGGTCTGCTTGCCTGATGCGCAGCTAAAGCCAAACTTTGCACCCTAAGCTTTGCAGTAGAAAAGTTAAACTTTTTACTGAGTGGCGACAGCGAAGGAGAATGGGCAGCTTATGCTGTCAAAACCCGTGTTTCCTGATGTCTGCCAAGCAGGGATTTTCCTAGAGTAAAAATCGAGTGAGGATCTCAGTATTGTGAAGGATTCTGATTGGTTCAGCATAAAATCAGCATAATTATTTTTGGCATCTTGATGATTCCTTGATGCCCCCAAGTCTGGAGTCTACCTGTACAGTGGGCTTGCTTGTGGTCAGGAGTCTTTCCTTCAAAACTATCAGTTTCTGCAAAACAGGCTCATCAGTGATGTTATCTTGATCTCTTTACAAAGAACCAAACATCTTGTGACCATAAGCGAGTGTCTAATCTTAAAATGCATAGTACTTACATCTGCATTCTCCTGAGTTAGCTACTATCATCTTAACAATTAAGCAAATCTTAAATTCTTGGAATTCTAAGCCGGTTGCCCTTGGATGGGCATATTTTTCTCTTCCTCTTTAACTGAGGCTTTCTTTGGCTAAAGCTTCTTTCTCTCCCTTTTTTCATTTCATTTAAAGTAGGAGCCTTGGGCCGGCCCGGTGGCGCACTGCTACAGTGCGCCGCTTGGGAAGCGCGGCAGCGCTCCCACCGAGGGTTCGGATCCCACATACAGACCGGCCGCTCACTGGCTGAGCGAGGAGCAGGGACAACACCGAGGGTTGCGATCCCGTTGCCGGTCCTGGTCCGGTACGGGCGCGACACTGAGGGTTGCGATCCGTTGCCGGTCACGAAAAAAGACAAAAAATAAATAAATAAATAAAGTAGGAGCCTTTTGGCTCCTACTTCATACAAATACCCCCCCAACTTCATAAATAGGTCAGATATTGGATCATATTTTTGTGGGAGGGAAAAAAGTATTTCATATTATAATTTAGAAGCATAATTAAGTATAGAATTTTTGACCTATTCTTTCTACTTGGCAGTTAATATTAATAGCTTATTAGAATTAAAAACGATTCTTTGTTTTGCTTTACTCTATGAGCTATTGCTAAGAGTAAGAAAAATTGTTTCTGGAAAACAGTAATGTAAAATAAAGGATTTTAACTGATGTGACCTATATTTGTTCATCACATACCTAAGGGCTGCCGGTTACCTCAGTTGGTTAGAGCTCACCTTATAACACCAAGGTCACAGTTTCAGATCCTAATAACAGCCAGCCACCAAAAAACAAAACAAAACAAAACAAAACAAAAATCCCAAAAACCAAAGTTGGAGGACTCAAACAATTTCAAAACTTACTACAAAGCTACAGTAATCAAAATTAGTGTGGTATTGGCATTAAAAAAAATATTCATCACATTTTTTTCTTGCATACTTTCTATCATGGTATGGTTAAGAGATACTATTTTAGATTTCAGAAGATTTCGTCACTACCATTCCATGAAATCTTTTCAAAAGGTCTGCATGTTGAGTTTGCTGGTGGCTCACTTGGGAGAGTGAGGTGCTAATAACGCCAAGGTCAAGGGTTCAGATTCCTGCACAGGCCAGCCACCATAAAAAACAAAAAACAAAAAAGACAGGTCTTGGAGTAAATATATCCCTTTGCTATTATAGCTCAGTTTGGAAATGGTTCTTGTTGCATTATCTTACCTTATTTTCAAATTATTACCGACTGATTTACTTTTTCTGGGAAATTATGTCATACAAAAGTAAGACAGATATTTGTAGTATGGGGATTATCTTCTAAATGTCTGTTATTAAACAAAAGATTATCTCTTTTTGAAGTAACATCTTTCATTTATTTAAGTTTCACATTTTAACATCTTCTGAAAATCATCAGTTAATTGATGGTGTGATGATTAATTGACAAGGTTTTTTTTTCTTAGTTATACATGGAGTAATGTCACGTCTTAACAACTGATGACATCTTGAATTTGATGAAATATAGCAATTTGGATTACTCATGATATAGCCTAGCAACACTGAGGTAGTGCTGATATTGGTAGACTGAGTTAAGTATCACTGCAGTGGATAGATACAGAATATTTGTTCCATGTCTCTCTTTTTAAAGGCTTTTTCATATTCTTATCTAAGTTTTGATGAAAGGATCAGGATATGTAAGTTTAAACTTTAAACTAGACATAACGGTGAATACTCACATTTATATAGGCTTCATTAAAAGGCTAATGGAGTTCTAAACTGAATGAATGTTCTTGTCTTTTCACACAGAGGCTTTACAGAATTTGCCCTCTGCCCTCTCTTCAATCTATTCTGTCTCTCAGAGGTTTCATTCCCTCTCCAGTTTTCAATTCTAACCTCCAATTGTTTTCTTGATACTCTTCTCTTCCTCCCTTGTCTGTTCCGAGTTAACCTTGTTGTTATTTTTAATTAGTAGACTTTTTTGGAGTAGTTTTAGGAACAGAAAAATGAGTTGAAAGTAGTTATAATTGATGAGCCAATATTGATATACATTATTATTAACTAAAGCCCATAGATTAATTAAGGTTTACTCTTTGTGTTGTACATTCTATGGGTTTTGGTAAATATATAATGACATATATCCATCATTACAGAATAATGATTATTATTTTATATATATATATACACATATCCATTATTACAGTATTATACCAGATAGTTTCATTGTTCCACTGTGTTCCACTTCTTTATCCCTCCCTTCTCGTGCCCTCTCCCTCCCTTGCCAACCACTGGTCTTTTTGCTGTCTCCATAAATTTTGTCTTTTCCAGGAATCATACAGTATGTAGTCTTTTCAGATTGGCTTCTTTCACTTAACAGTATTCTTTTAAGGTTTCTCCATGTCTTTTTGTGGCTTGATAGCTCATTTCTTTTTATCACTGAATAATATTCCATTGTATGGATGTACCATGGTTCGTTTATCGATTTAGCCTTTGAAGGACAGCTTTGTTGCTTCCACGTTTTGGCAGTTATGAATAAATGAGTTAGCCTTTTAAAACACAAATATGATCTAAGTACCTCAAATCACCTATAAAAAACAAGTTGAGCTGATTCTGTATTTGAGCCTTAAAGAATGATAACTTATCTTTGTATCAAGAATTTCTAATTGTGTAGTTGGCTTATAACAGTGCTCAATAAATGTGTGTGGAATGATTTAATGTGAAAGAAGGAAGGCGACACTGAAGAGAATTAGGGGAAAAGATTACATCCTAAATTGGATAATTTTTTGGAAAATGAGATTATCTTGAAACCCAGTTAGAAATTCTAATAGGGACCAAGTTGTTCAGAGCTTTGAATTCAACCACTAGCTTGAGAACAATCCAGAACAAAATTGTCATCAAGCTGGCCTCAAAACTAGGCCATTAGGTTTATTTTACTTTAAGTGCAATGGACTGAGAGTCCATTTTAAACTGGGTTTTTGGGTTTTTTTTTAAACAATGTGTGTCCACAATAATCAACCACATTGTATATCAACAAAATAAAATAAAAAATAAAATAAAATAAACAATGCGTGTAATGGATTTGATTTCTTTGTTATAGAACGGTGGCAGCTGAAGTTAGGAAGCAGATCTCTGGGCAATACAGTGGTTCTCCCCAGCTACTCAAAAACCTGAACATTGTTGGCAATATATCCCATCACACCACAGTAAGTATCATATTCAGAATATGGTTTGTTATTGGTCTTTTACTGAGTAAGCCATGAAAAAATAGTGAAAAGATTAGAGTGAATAGATTGGGTTCCATAACTACTCTCATAACGTTACTTGTTGCTATTTACTCTTTCTTGGAATCTGAGCTGGGAGAAGGTATTAGAGGGTGTCATGGAAGTGTAAACTTCCTAGTCATTTTACATTCAGGATTTAATCAACTCTGGAATTTTACGTGTAGAACTTCCTAGGCCCAAGGTGATTCATCACATGAAAATTTAGGAGTCTATTCTAGAAATAGGCACTGAAGCATTTTATAGAAAGGAATATATATTTATTGAATCATTATTGTAAGCTAGGTACTATGTCAGAGATGCCCTCATTAAAAAAACTAGCATGAGGGTAATCAGTTTTGATAAAAACTCTTATTTATTAATTAGGTATAAGAATTAAAAACATACCTCCATTTGTCTTAAAATTAGAGGTCTTTTTTTCAAATGCTGTAGAAAACTAAAAAATAAGAGTGATAGGTGGAGTTATGCATTAATATTTTCCATTTAGCTATGAAAGGATATAATTGAACAAACATGGTGTGCTAGAGAAATAACAGTTTGACTGACTCATAATAACATGTTTATGCTGTTTGTGTTATTAAAATTTTAGAACATGAAGTTTACTTTTAATAACAGTAACGTGCTCATTGGAGAAATTTTAGGTTATATGGATTTCTGGGTGATTTCAATGCTAGTGGAGATGATCCTTCCAATAAGCTCTTTGTGTCATGAACTCCTTTATCTTGCATCCTGAATTATATCTCAACTACTCAAAACTTTCATAGTCAGGCCCTAGATTTAGTTATCATGAATAACTATAACCCATGAAGACATGCTAGGTTGTAGCATGTATCAGAATTTCATTCCTTTTTAAGGCTGACTAATATTCCATTGTATGTATGAGAGTACTTCAAAAAGTTCGTGGAAAATGGAATTAAAAGGTAGTACAAATCTTTCCATGTACTTTTTGAAGATCCATCATATATATCACATTTTGTTTATCCATTCATCTGTTGATAGTCATTTGGGTTGTTCCTGCCTTTTGACTACTATGAATAATGCTTCTATGAACATGGTGTTTATACGTGGTGTTTGTATCTGTTTGAATCCCTATTTTTAATTGTCTTGGGTATATACCTAGAAGTGGAATTGCTGGATCATAGGGAGATCCTATGTTTTTTGTATGCTTTTTGAGGAACCATCATCTGTTTTCCACAGCAACTGCACCATTATACATTCCCACCAGTAATGCACAAAGCATCTAATTTCTCCATATCCTTGCTTACACTTGTTATTTTCTGTTTTTTAAAAAAATCATAGCCAATACTGATAATCAACTCTGTACCCCACAAATATATATATAATCAATTATGTTTCAATAAATTTAAAAAAAAAATAGCCATTGTAGTGGGTGTGAAGTAGTCTTTCATTGTGTTTTTTATTTGCATTTACCTCATCCCACAAATTTTATGTTGTATTTTTATTTAGTTCAATGTATTTTTTTCATTTTACTGTTCAGACTTCTATAACTTATGGATTATTTAAAAGTGTATTATATCTTTAAGGCCAGAATGTTCAAATCCTTCTCTGCTTCCTTTTCATGTGGCTTTCTTCTCTGTGTGTATGGCCTAAATCTCCCTCTGTCTCTTTATAAGGATATCAGTGTTTGTATTTATGACCCACCCAGATAATACAGGGTAATGTCCCCATTTTAAGATCCTTAATCACATTTGCAAAGACGCTTTTATTTTATTTTTCCATACAAGGTAACACGCACAGGGTCCATGATTAGGATATGGAGAATTTTTGGAGGGCCATTTTTCATCCTATAATGTTCTGATTATATGTTTTTACAAGGATAATCAACAATAACAACAAATAAAGTAAGAGTCTTGTTTAGAAACTTAGCAATGAAAATTCCAAAGATATGAAAAAGGAAAAAAGAATCCTTCCAATGAGTACTGTAAGGTATGATAAAACTGTTAATTATGATTACTGTTTTTATGTGAGAATTATGGGCACAGTCTAAGCAAGGAAGTTAAAGATCATATAACCAAAAATGTAAAGGAGTATAAGAAGACCAACACTTTGTGATTTCTTTAATACATCTGGCTGAGTTTCTGTTGAAACTTTAGAAAGAACTAGGTTAAAATCATATTTTAAAAATAAAATTTCTTTGCTAAAAGTTTTAAAATTCTTACATTCACCTCTTCATTTTGCCCACCTCTTATACTCATCCTTCTTTATAAAGGTGCCCCTCACCGAAGCAGTGGATCCAGTGGATTTGGAAGATTACCTCATTACTCATCCTTTAGCTGTGGATTCTGGGCCTTTACGGGATTTGATTGAATTTCCTCCAGATGATATTGAAGTTGTTTATAGTCCAAGGGACTGCAGAACCCTTGTTTCAGCTGTACCTGAAGAAAAGTAAGGAGTCATTTATCTTCTTTTGGTTTTAGTGTAAATGTAGAAAAGCTGCCTTCCATTATTTTATTTAGATACTATTTCTTGTGATGGTGTTTCCTGTTATAAGAACAAGAACTGCAGAAACCAAATTCACAAACATCAATACTTTCCTGTCTAAATTACAAATATATTTTCTTTTTTAAAATAGTGAAATGGATCCACATGTTAGAGATTGTATAAGAAGTTATACAGAAGACTGGGCAATTGTGATCAGAAAGTAAGTTAAATGTTTATTGTAACATTTGAAAATAGTGAGTAGGATTTATAAATGGATTAAGGTAGATAAATAATAATTACAAGACCTGAAAATTCATTTAAACAAAATAGTTGAAGAAGCAAAAGAAAAACCTTTGTATATAGGTATTTTCTTCTTAGGAGTTCCACAATTACTTTTACTTATTTTTCTTATAAAATATTAGGTTTATGGGAATGATATTTCTTAATTATTCATAAATCATTTAGGACTAATAACATATGATGATAATTTTGTAATCTATGTTAGAAATTCATGCGTAGATATTGATGAATAATTTGTATTTCTCAAAAGAATTCAATGTAGTGAAACTTAAATAACTTAATTTAATAGCCACTTTTCCAGATCAAGCTATTTGAAAGGTCTCTGCCCTTAACCAAGTAGGTAAATAGTTGTAAAAAATAATGTTTTGTTCTACCACAAAATTTATTTTTCTGGTGGACTGTGTTTGAAATACCAAGTCAGATTCAGAAACAAAATAAAACTACTTTTCTAATATGCATAGTGAAGAAGCATTTTTCTACTGAAACTTCTTAGCTTTGTTTTATTTTTCTAAAGGAAACAATGACTGAAGTAATGGAGAATTTTGTTATGAAATTATAATTTTCACAAATGAAGCAACCGATGCTAAATAGCACTAGCAAAAGTGTTATATCCATTGCTTATTGCATCCTCATGACTGCTGTCTTATTTCATTGGGCTTAATATTATGCTAAGTATCACTGAGGGATAATGCTGATATACTTCTTAGTTTTAGTATGACCTAATGAAAGCACAGTTTTCTGTCCTATATATAAAAGAACAGTTTTTATGAACTTGCAATTTCAATAAGTATTCTAGTAGCCAGGTTTTAGACATTTCTGAAGAAAACTGTTTCTCTGTTAGATAATTCAAAAGTCTTTACTTCTATGCATATATGTTGGAAACCTATAATCAGAAATCTTAGTAAAAAGAGGTGACTTGTAAAATATATTGACCTCAGAATCATGGAATCTTAATTATGGGGTTGATAACCTTGGTTTAGGCAAGAGGGTAAGGAAATTAATGTTTATGGATACTTACTGTGTGCTGGGCATTTTATTGGGTACTTTACATTCATCTCATGTAAGGTTCTAACACATAAGGTAGTTTAGGTGCAGAGTAGTTAAGTAACTTCTCTGAGTTCCCAGAAGCCAAAAAGTGGGGTAGCCAGGATTTAAACCTAAGGACTTCAGACTCTAAAGCTCATATTTTTTCTGTTATACTAGATATTATTCATTATTTACAATAGTAATGGGAGACAAAATGGGTACTTTTGATGGACTAGAAGTTCTGAGGTATCTCTGAAAGGTAGAAGATAGGTGTGATTGGAACATAAAAGAAAACCACAGTTCTACAGAATAGTCTAAGGGGAGGATACATGCAGAACTTTCCATAGTGCTTTAAGCCCAGAAGCAGTGAATACAGGCAAGGGAAGGTGTACCTGGGGCAAATGTTAGACATTTGATTACTTTGAAACCCCTTGTACCATGTGTGCACAGCAGTGATAGCAGAGATATCTGCCTTTTTTAAGAGTGGTAATTATGGAGGCTTGAGCTGATAGAATAGAATAATGCCCAGGATGGGCACACCTTGGCGGAAGAAGGAACCCTCATACTCAGAAGACTAGATACTGGCAGACTTTGCCTGGCAGCATGATCTGCCTTTTCCATACAACCACTGGTGGTAATTATGGAGGCTTGAGCTGATAGAATAGAATAATGCCCAGGATGGGCACACCTTGGAGGAAGAAGGAACCCTCATACTCAGAAGACTAGATACTGGCAGACTTTGCCTGGCAGCATGATCTGCCTTTTCCATACAACCACTGCATATGGGATAGGGTAAGCAGATACAGGAGTTCAAGACAGCTGTGGGGGACACAAATTCAAAAATGAACACAGAACACAGAATTGTAAGTATTTGATGAAAGCAAATCACTTGAAAGAGAATTATCACTACAAGTAAGAGAACTAACAACTTAGGCAATAGTCAATAGAGCACAGATTAAGACCTATAAGTGTAATTAATATGCTTAGGTATTAGTGTACATAAGAGATGTGAAAGGAGGACTGGCTTGATAGCTCACTCGGTTAGAGCATGGTGCTGATAACACCAAGGTCAAGGGTTTGGATTCCCATACTGGCCAGCTGCCAGAAAAAAAAAAAGAGATGTGAAAGGATGAAAGGATATTGTAATCATACAAAAGTCTGTTACTTATCTTTGGAAATTAAAATTTTGATCAGTGAAAATATATTAAAAACTCAGCAGATGGGATTAATGGCAGAGTGGATGCCATGAAGAATTGAAATAGTGAGCTATAAGATGAAGTCACAAAATTCTTTCATAATTCAGCACATAATGATGAAGGGTCAGAAAGTACTTCATTTAGTTTAAGCTATACTACAAAGCTATAATAACCAAAACAGTATGGTACTGGCATAAAAACAGACACACTGATCAATGGAATAGAATAGAGAATCCAGAAATCAACCCACACACTTACTGCCATCTGATCTTTGACAAAGGCACCAAGCCTATTCACTGGGGTAGGGACTGCCTCTTCAGCAAATAGTGCTGGGATAACTGGATATCCATATGCAGGAGAATGAAACTAGACCCATACCTCTCACCATATAACCATATACTAAAATCAACTC